AAACAATATCTAGGCAGGATATTGATTAAGTTTGATCCAACTTACCCAACATAACGAATAAATTTAGTAATTAAATAATTCTACTAAACCACCAGCCACCTGCTATTTCATTTATAGGGAAACCAGCTTGTAAGAGAAATAGGACAAAAGCAATCCTGTTCGATATTTGGGAACAAAAGAGAATTTTTCTTTCTGTTTAACAGTTCTATTATGAATAGTAATTATTTATTGATTATACTTCTGCTCATTACGGTTAAGTAGTGCTTTTATGTGTATAAGAAAACATTGGAGCATCAACGATAATTTACCGTTTGTGATCTGCATAGGTACTAATGAAAGGCACATTTAGAATTCAGGTTTCGAAGTTCATTGCATTTTTATCGAATATCGTTTATTTAGATGCATTTAGAAGTGCAATAAATCCAAGATTGTTTACTTTATTACGCTTAGGCTTAAATAATATTGTGTGTATCTACGATAGATACGACTTTAAGGTAATTTTTGTTTTGCAAAGCGAATGCATTAAAAGTTAGTAGATAAAATGCATTCTTATCGTAATTTATTTAAAAAATCATCTTATTTTCTGCAGATAATTAGGCATGGGCATAAAGAAGAATTATGTTAATTAAAAATACTGTTACGTGTGCATGGGTTCGTAATGTATTGAATGCATGCAAAATCGATAATATCTTGATAAAATTTATTTTCCCAAAAGGAACACTTTACAGTTCCGGAAATTTTTCACAAAAGTACTTGTACAGATCTTCTGAATATGACAGAACAGAGACAGGAGTTACCATTTCAAATTGCTACCAAGAATGCTAAACGTAACCCACGTATAATGTAGGTAAAGATCGAAGCTGGCTTGGAGATTTCTAAATACTCCGAAGTCGGCTCTGAACTAAAATATGAGAACTGTTGCCCTCTTCTGATGGCTTTATAGCGTTTCCGTGCAGCCTGATGCTTTTATAGTGTCTCCTGATGCTTTATTATGTTCTCGATACTATTATAGTGTTGACCTTCCGTTGAGGAATGTTGAGTACCTTTCATTTCTTGAAATTACTGGAAGACATATAAGGTTAAATTTACGTATAAGGGCTGGTCATACTTACAGTTGCAAATAGAGATGAGTTAATTGCACTTATAGAGGAACTGAATCCAAATGTTCACAAATGGTCGCCAAGTTTTATGGACTTTGGAAGATTTCTTGACAAATATGGCGACAAAAATTAGTCGTCAAAACCATCGCCAGCTTGGCGATACAGCTTGACAAATTAACATGATAGCCGTTTACTTCAATGCTAAGTTGGCTTGCCCCTGTATCCTTATTTTTCTGTCAGCGCTCCGTTCTCTTCAGACTTTTCATGCTACTTTATACAAAATTCGTAACAATACGTTTTCAGTTCTTATCATCTGCCCATGTATTTATAAAAATTAATTCAACACAAAATCTTTATTAGAATTTGCATATACAACACAGAAATATTTTAACTGTGAATTTAAAATTTAAAATTTTTCAGTTGAAAAGTTTATTAATTAAACGCAATGTACGACAAGCGAAAACTGTAAATCGGAGTTTGATTTTTTGTAAGTTCATTGCGGTTACAAAGCAATCGTAAAAGCAAAGACGATGAGGTCACAGTGTTTCGTAAAAAAAAGAAAATAAAAGTACTGATTAGCCTATCAAAGATTCAATGGTCAGACCTTTCGTCAAAACATTAGACGTGTTTACTTTATTTTAGATTTTAGATAGAAGATTTATTTTAGTTTTACTGATTATTACAGGGATGTTAGAATAATGTAGTAAGCCTCCTCCGTATGCCTTCCTTCTTGCAATGAAAATGAAGCCACGAAACATCACCGTATGACGTCACGACTTATCATGTCTGCTGCTATAGGCGAGCTTCTGGTTGATTTTGTTTACATTCTAATCGATGCTGTATACATGCTAGCTTTCATCGTTGAATGTTGGTAAGTCTGTCATTCTAATTTTAACACTTAAATAATTTTATATTTATTATGTCGAAAAATCACAATGATTGCAAATAACCTTTTAACGTTCAATAAAATCTAGGTACATGAAAATATGTAAATGATAACTATACGACATGGTAAAAACTAGAACACCAGCGAAAGTTTCGAAGGCATTTTACTCAAATTATGCCTAAAGACACTTTTCTGAGCTTTCGGACATTGATATTTGCTCTCAGTGTAATTTTATTTAACAGCATTTTTCCGAGTCTGGTTCGTATGCTGTATGCCAGCCACGATAAGTCGTGACGTTACGTTGTTGACATCTGCTTGGCCTCATTTTTGTGACGTCGTGCTTTCTCTATCCATTCTAATCTTCTTGGATTAGTAGATCATACGTACGATCCATTTCCTGTTAGAAAAGGTTTGAAAAGACCTATTAGAGAAACTTAAACGTACCTAGATGACCCATTCTTAAGACCGATGATATTATCATGCTTTTATAAATAAAGTTTCTGGCAAAGAGTAGTTTTTAATTATACGATTGACTAAATATTTCGGAAGTACTTCCATAATATACCGTATTACGCTTTGTTGTAACGTTACAAAAAATTTCTCACTCTGAGTTTACTTATGCGTAATGCTAATTTTCAAAATAATAGAACTTTAAATTATTTTGTGAATAATGTATATCTTTCAAAGCAGTAACATATCATCTTTTTAGTCCGTACCACCAGCGACCGAGAGCTAAAATTGCTGAACACTGGTAGTTCGGACCTAGGTTTGATTCCAGCAAACGGACTGGCTGGATGGGCGTTTTTGTGTTTTTCCCCGTGTGTAACGTGTATATGACACAATTTCCCTTAGAAAATCCTCCACGAAGATATCCTTTTCCTCAGCCAGATAGTCCTAGTGTGCTTTGTCATAATCAATGTTGTTATCGTGTCCACATTACATGGAAGAGTGGTTCCCAGAGCCTACTCCAAAGAGAGGTTGGACATCTATTTACCACCTCAATTTTGAGGGAGAGCACACTCCAGGGGATGGTCCGGGGTCACCCACTCCTCTGCTCTCTCCCCTTCCACCAAATAACAAAAGAGGACTTTCGGCTCGCCGTATATTTAGAGTGCCCCCATGCCGCACGGACACTATGCATTTACAAAGATCCCTGTCTTCTCCGAGACTCGAAACCGGAACCTTCGGTATCGCAGTGGGCATTCCCAAGGTCAAGACAACAATCCAAACGAATAGCAATTACATGACTTATTTCCTCACTGGTCATGAGCCCTTCCCTTCATACCTCTGCCGCTTTGGCTTGAGAGAAAATGGTCATCCAGACCATATTGTATTCTCCTGCCCACATACAGCATTTAACATCTCAAGCAACCAGGAGCCAGATTCTGACCAAATTGGTTCCAGAATCTACAAAGTAACAGAGTTGCCCAAAGGAAACTGAAAACAATAATTGACTACTGTACTAGCAATTACTCTTCTGACGCTGAAAGATAGTAGCCATAAAAGTCTATATAAGCTAGTTCAATATGTAGTAGCAGAGTATGTGGTATGTATGTTCAATATGTAATTTTGTATTTAAGCTGTGCCAGATTTTCATACACAAAGTGCGTACTGTATCTGTACATGTTTATATCTTTTATTTATGGTACCGAATTTATACTAAGGATCACGCGTACCTCAATGGCATGTTTCCTGTAAACTTTAACTATCATGATAATAAATATATATACATGTATATATAAATATGAGTGAGGGTATGTATACTTTTATTTGTTTCGGAATATATATGTATGTAAGTGTGTATATATCTAAGTTGGTATTTATAGGTATATACATATATTTTGATTGCACTCTTCTTCAAGTGCCTTGTATGCACATGTATATTTCTTTTTTGTATTTTATGAATGTCGTCTTCTCAGCCTGGGCTGCCCAGGGCTGCGCTGCGGCCTGGCAGCTAGTGGTTGACTCCCGCTGAGTTGGTAACCAATTCCGCATGGATATATCGATACCTTGTTCGGAAGCCAACTCAGCGGTTTACTCCCCTAACCACTGCGACATCTATATAGTCACAACAGGTTTATAAATGATTTTGCATCACTAGGTTTTTCATCTTTTTAAAGAAAATGGGAACAAATTTAAGAATTATTTTTTTTTTTCTTTCTAAAAAATTAATATTGTGAAAGACGAAATAATTGCTTTTCTGACTTTCAAGAAAAATTTCTAGAAATAAAGTATAAAAAGGGTATCAGTTGTTAATTAATTAAGCTTTTCCTAGATTTAATTACATAAAATGATAAATCTATTCAAAAGGATTATTTTTAATTAAGACAATTTTAGAACAATCAATTTATTTTTTGGGTTCTGAATGATTCTTCTAAGTATTAAAATACTTTTTATTTAATTGATTTAACATTTTAGCCAGAAAATATCAATAATAATGGCAAAATTTGTTTGGAACTATTTTAATTTAATTAATACTGAGACTAACTTTAGTATTGAATGAAAATTTATGAACAGTGTTTGAAACTGTTAAATTCTTGGTACAGTTCTACATTTTTCAAAAGAACCTGCACCAAAATTATTGGAAAACGAAAAAAAAAAAAAAGAAAAGAAAAAGAAAAAAAGAAAGAAGATGTTTCAACGTATAAATAAAGCTTTGTGAAACGTTAAGTAGAACGGATCCAACTTTAAGTTTTCGAAGATTAGGTAGGAATAGACGGATATTTCACAATAGCAAATTTTATCCTTCTGGTAAGTGAAGCTCTTGAAAAATTATTTATCTTGAAGAATTTTACTGTTGAGCTTTAAATATTTTTAGCAGCTTTAACGTAATATATAATTAAAGCATATTATTTCAGGTTCAAGAAACTGTTTTCAAAGAATAATATCCAAAGTATACGAGAAAAGCCGCAACATCTGAGAGCACGATTACAAAATTTGAGTCATCTACTAAAATGCGCCAATAATTATGTTAACAAATTAAGAATCGTAAAATAAATAAGACAGAAACTTACCATTCTTTTGCAGTGTCGCCCCCTAGAAAAGAAAAATAGGTAATCATTACTAATATAGCACATAAATTACTAAATGCTGTCATATTTTAACCTAATGAAGCAATGAAACAAACATAAATTATCAAATATTATCATAATTTAGCATAAAAGTAACATAATTGTTTCTTCTACTATTCTGATCCTTGAAACACAATCTAACTATATAAAACAAATGTTATTCGTAGAGGTATTGAAAATTTTTACAAGTAGAGGATATTTACTAACTTGTAAAGAAACATATAAGAAGATGAAATTAATTTTGAATAAAAATATATGTGAAAAGAATAAGTATACATTTAACGGTTTTTAAAATTTCATTGAATGTATAGTTCATTATTTTTTTTTTATTTATTTATGCTCAGTCTATGAGGTACAAAACAACAGAGGCATTGCAGAGATTGCATGCAATACTAAATGAAAGTATTGTGTTTATTGATGTGTATATCAAAAACCTTAATAATTGTTACTTGAATACGGTTTCGCAGTGGATTGAATGCTCACAGAAGCTGTGATAGCTGATAAAATTTATTTTTCAAAAAACAACACTATACAGTTCTTGAACTTTCCACAGAAGCTCTCGTAGAGCTCTTCTCGGTATCATAGAACACAATCTCAGGAACGCGCATGAGGGCCGGATACGATTACAGTTGCATATACAGATTAAGTACAATTATTCAATTACAATACCCATTGCAGCTATACAGGGTCCAGATCAAAAAGTCGCCAAGTCTGGCGACTTTTGGCGATTCCTCGCTAAATTAGGGATTTAAAACCATCGCCGTCTTTGCGTTATAGCAGTAATTAACGACATAGTCCTCAACATTAACTAGATTTTCCCCTGTTATCTTATTTTTCAGGTAAAGCTTCACTTTTTAAAGGTACTTAATTGCACTACGCAAGAGATACTGCGCATATAGTTTCATTAAAATTCATTAGCGAGACAATCATTTACTCAATGTTAAATAAAGTTTCCTCTGTATTTTTCCTTTTTCGGCAAAAGCTCGCTCTTTAGATGTTCATGTTACATTATTAAAATAAAAAAAGGCAGTTTCATATATAATTTCTATAATTCCATTTATACGAGTATATGTGCAGAACTCGTAACAGAATTATTTTGTGCAACATATTTGCGACTAGCTCCACTTTATATTTTCCAATCTTTAGCAGTAAAGAGTGGAACTATGCTTACTGAAGGTGTTTTAAAATTAAGAGGTACAACTTTAAAATTCGAGCATTCTTACTGTTTTGTTACAGAGTAGTCTAACACTCTTACTCCATGGGATATTACTTGCATCGATGCAAGTTTTTTAATACGTGAAAAATACACATTTCGTAATGAAAAATATTTTCCGTTCGCTACCTTTAGAAGTGATATAATATTTCAGAAGAAATCTTTTAATGGGTTAACAAAAAAAAAAAAAATCATTCTTCATACCTTCAGCCACAGGAACGTCTTTATCACTCGGATATATTCATTGGGTAGAATTTTTTTTTCTTCTTTTCATGGACGCCTCCGTGATCAGTACAGTAGTTAGAACTGTATCATTCATTGGGTTTGGGTTCGAATCTCGGAGAAGTCATGATGTTTTTAAGCATACAGTGTCTAAAAGGAAATTGTGAAATCCACTAGCTGAGCAAGATGTAGCCTGGCACTGTCATCCAGGAGAATGAATTCATCCCCTATTGCTGCAGCGTAAAGGACCACAATATATTTGAGGATCTCATCGTTCATATCGCTGAGACGTTAGTACTCCATTCCTGATAATGTGCAGATAGGTGCAGCCACTAATAGAAATACCGACTCAGAATATCACTCAGTCTCCGCCAAATCAGAGTCTTATATGCACAAATGTAGCAGTATTCCGTATACCAGGTTTCCTCCAGATGAGGAGCCCACTAGCGGCCGAGCGGTAAAATCGAACACTGGTAGTTCATTCTGAGGTTCGAATCCCGTTGTTTGAACAGGCTAGCTGCATGTGGTTTTCCCATGGGCTGGACATTTGTGGTTTTCTCCATGTATAACTGTATACGAGCCACTTTCCCTTAAAACGTCCTCCACGAAGGCATCCTTACTTTAAGCAGATAGCCCTCTAGTGCTTTGTCATAATCAAATAAACTAAACCTAAACCAAACCTCCAGATGAGGCTCTGCCTATTGCAGGTACAATAAAGGGGTACTTGTTTCTCCATTCATCTTCTTCCCATCTGAAATTCTTTTGTGCCTATTTTCTGCGGACAGCTCGGTGGGCCTGTATCAACGAAACACAAATCTCAGGCCTGCGAGTATACAAACCTGCGAGTATATAAACAGTGGAGTCGGTTTCGAATAGTTGGAGTCACAATTCTGGTACCTGTAGTGATCTGAAGGTACTGTTGCAAGAAAGTGGCGTTCTTTGTGCGGTTCCCTTTGGCCATTAGTGTTAAATATCGATCCTCATTTTGTGTTGCAGCAGTCATACTACCTTGTGCTGATCTTCAGCGAACATTTCTAGTTTCCCAAAACCGATTTCATAGTCTGGAAATGGCCCTTTGAGAAATTCCTAACGCTTCTGCTACAACGGATTACATTTGATCAGCCTCTAAACGACCGATGGCCCTTCAGGCTATCGATTCAGCAAAGTCATCTTGCTGTAACATGGTACTCACTGTTGCAAAACATTAAACACGTGTCAGTTGTTTTTAATCTCCTCCTACAGAAGGAATGCTGCAGGTTACTTTTCACTCCTTACCTAAAACCCATAGTTTTCTACGTCGCAGGCAAAACTTGCATATTTCCAACTTTGTAAGCGCTATAAGTTTACTTTTTAAGCTCTTCTATTTCATTTTTGTTAAAACATTTGTCGATTTTTTGGTTATTTCTTACTGAATTCATATCATGAATATCCCCTAATTGTTTTGATCCCGTCCCCTAGTTGTTTGTATTTTTATTTCAACATTCTCTCTTAGAGAGAGAAAGTATTATTTCATTTAACTGTTTGATGTATTAACGTCTACTCTGAACTTATTGAAAAGTAAATCTCTTTTCGAAATTGTCTGAAATTTCCCGAACACTAGACGTCGTGGTATAACTGGCCAATATCACTCGATACTTCACAAGAAACAAGCAATTAAGTAGTCACGCTCGCCTAAACTAATATATTGGTATACACAAGAAAAACTTATGCAAATCATTTTGAACAAAAATATTATTTCTTTCACGCTCGCTGAGACTAATACTGCTATTTAAAGAGATCTGCGTGAATGTTTCCTCCTTGTTATTTCCTCAAAGCCACTTAATAGCCTATCTTCAGAGATAGTTCATTTTTCCTTGGAGATATACAGACATCCGGAAACACAAAATAGAAAGCATAATTTAATTCCTAAGAAAACTATTCAAATCTCACGACAAATTTATTTCCATATAAGTAGCTCGTGAGTAATGATGGAATAGAATCTGGAAAATGGAATCATATGGATAGCTCTTTTTTCTTCGTTAGACCTAGTAAAATTAAGTTCTTTATTAAGCTGCATGTTAAACGTCTTTATTATTTTACACAAGATAGAAAAATAAAGCATGTAGAAACTATTTCTAAACAGCTATCAAATTAAAATCGATGGACGTGCACGATATAAATATTAGTCTGTAATGTAAAGCAAATATGTAAACATTTATGGGAAAATAATTATGTACTTTATGCAGGCCAATATCTTCGACTTAAGTGCTTCTGTCTGCTTAAGCATAGCATCGCGTATACCGGTCTGTAATGTTTCAGAAATACACGCAATCTGCAAACATTTATGTAAAATATTTGCATGCTGTATCTAGGCATAATTTTTCTTCTTTTCTTAATTGTTTCTCGTTCATTAGCCATAGCCTTTTTCTAAACGTGTGTAGAGTCATTAGGTTATTATGAAGCAGGAAACACGAAAAATGTGCAATGCTCTCTCCAGGACTCGAACCTGGACCTCTCGAATACGTGCCGAGTGCGCTACCGTTACACCACAAGGGCATGCTGGTAGGAGGAAGAAAGTACCTTATACACTCTCCCTTTTAAAGGGCGACAGGGAATTAGGGGAATCCAATCGCCAAATCCTGGTGGTGACGATTTATGGTCGGTTATTTTGAAGCAGGAGGCTTGAAAAATATGCGATGCCAATGGAGGTAGGAAAGGGAGGAGGGGCCATTCCGCGCTAGAAGTGAAGCACTGCTTTGAAGCTTGGGTCACCAGACGGGGTGTTCTTTGTTTACATTCAGAAGCTCGCTTGACAAGATTCTGATAGTATTTCGACACACAACAGTTCCATAGAAATCGAAAAAGGGACACTCTCGCATGAAAGAAACATTCATAGTGTGATGGATAATAGCAATTTGTATAGTTTACTGACATTTACGCAAAAATCACATCTTGGTTATTTCTCGATAACTAACAACAGCGATTTTGATTATGAATTTGTTTTATAAAATTCTAAGCTGTTGCAACTACAAAAATATAGATTTTAAGAAAATGCTGCTGAAAGAGATCTGCCAAAATTTATTTTCTAGAAGATTTGAAAAGTTTGAAACTTGATGGCTAAATGTAAATATAAAATTATGTATGTTAAAATATTTGTAATTAGGCACATAGGTCAGATTAAGTTTTTATTAAATAGAGTAACGCATGCAAGGGCTATCTGCCTAAAGAGAGAGATGCCATCGTGGAGGAATTTTGAAGAAAAAACTGACTTTGAGTGGGTATTAAAAATAATACTTATAATTTTCATTCAAATTATATTCATATATATTTTTTATGTAAAACTTTCGGGTGTATGCTAAATTAGTGTAAATTTACTTTACACGAAAAATATAGTGAATGCACAGAAATTAAAGATTTGCACATGCCGGAAATGATAAATAGGAAATATGTATGGGTATTGCAAAAAGCATGTATCTGCCTTTGACAAAATACTTAATTATTCATTAAATTATTTATAAATGTATTTGAAATGAAGAATTTATTCACTTATA